ATTTGCCCTTCAAGAAGGTGCTCTGTGAAGTCTGGTTTTTCTGCATTGCAGATCTAGCCCCATAATTGCATCTTGTGCTTCAATACAATGCTGTTGGGAACACTGTTTCCTGCCTTTGCTGCAGTTACAGCACACTCAGTTTCTGGCATTTGCAATGCTTTTGCACTGGTGCCAAACCTCATGGTGAATGTGTGTCAAACACCGCCAATTAGTGCTCAATCTGGTATGGAAATAACAAGGATCATACCTCAAAGTACAGCACCTCTCAACCTGATGAGCTGCCCCAGAAAGACACTAAAAATGCAAAGATGAAGAAGTATTTATAGGTACAGTCATAGCCAAGCAGATTATTAAAAATATCATTTAGAAAGCATAGACACGGAGAAACATGATGTGTTGCAACAAAGGAGGAAATAGGATGCATTCTTTAACAACGTTTTCAAACACTCAAGCAGTGCTATTATAGAATAATAATAAATCCTACTACAGCAAGATAGATTTCCATTCATTCCTCTTGCAATCTTTCATCTTATGGGTACACAGAATATTTTTATTCTGATCTTTATCCACAAAGTTGTATTTAAATACTGGTAAAAGGATCATAATCCCCAGAGAAATTACTGCTTAATTTCTTCCGTGTGGACCATTTCCTGGCATGTCTGAATCTGACCTCCAGCGCTACTGTCTGTCAAAATACTCTTTACAACAGAAAGGTCATACTTAAGGCTTGGCCTGTGGATTACACACCAATCAAAGCGACAAAACGACGGCTCAGAGCAAGCACAGCTGCTGTCTTCAGTGCTAATTCATGAAGAAATGAAAATCTGAGGGAAGGCAAAATGGCAACTGACCTCCTCAGGGTGAGGATATTTCACTAGAAGCAAACGCAGACTGCTTTTTCCTAACAGGATAGAGTAATTTTTGCATGTATTGTACTGAAGAATAATAAAATTGTTACTCAAAACTTGTAGTTAAACAGTTTTGTTTAAGCCCAAATGAAAACAGGGCTGTTAAGCTGTATGTTAATAAGCATTCATCACAAAAAGTGTTTTACCTCTTAAACCAGTAATAGAAAAGATACGGATACTCTGCTAGAGAGATGACACAAACATCAGAGTTAACGTTCAATACAACTGTGGAAGCAGAAACCCCTGGTGCAGCAGGACAGCTGAAAATTAGGGACCATTTTTTAATCCTCCTCCTGAGCCTTGCCTGCCCACTCATTTAATTTTTTTCTTGCAAACAAAATAATTGACTCATCCAGGTAAAAGCTACCCTGTGTATGAAGATAAAACGTGCTGTGTCCTATTGCAGTACAGCAATTTTCCAAGTTGAGTTGTATAATACACTGAAATTGCATCAAAATACCTTGACAGAAAAAACAAAGATCTGTTCTGAAGCTGACAAGTATTTGTTGTGAAGCACATACAGCAAAACTTCATGTATGTGAAGTGCACACGACATAACTTCAACCACATAAATCCAGACCTCAGTAGGCGAGCCTGAATCACATTTTAATTTCTTCTAAGAATATCACAGTCCAGTCTTTCCTATTTTCATAACAGAGTCAGTGAAGTCATTAATGACATTCCTGGCCCTCTAACACTGCGTAAGACTTCTCACAATTTTATTTGGCAAAATTTGGGCACAACCCACAGGTACAAATTCAATTGAACTTGTGCAAAACTCTGGTATTCAGTTTGCTTGAATTGTTTCTTTTATGTCATCTTTATCTGAAATCAGGTGGTTTTTTTAAAAAAAACACTTCTTGAGCTTTATTTCTTATTGACTTATGCTTTTATCCCTCTTTATTTCATTCCCAACAGGAAATGAGAAAGGTAATTTCCCAACGTCGGACTTCGCAGCAGCAGTTGGTGTAACTCGGAGCGTGGGCAGCGTTACTTCATTGTCAAACACAGGCTGAGCGTGTTCAGAACGGGAGGCTTACAGGCAAGGAGTTTCTTATTTGAGACTCGGGTCATACAAGGACCTGCTAATTCTTATCAGGCCATTTCATAATGGTCTTTAGTCTTAATTGAGACTGTCAAGTAAGATTAGACTTCACATTTAGACACAGAAGGAAACAGGGTGATCAGAAGAGATTCTGTGAGCTAGAACACAGGGTATTTTTATATGAAAAAAAAATCTGCTGTTGATCCAAAGAAAGTTTACTGCTACTACTACTAAAACAGTACTTTCTGCAACTGGGCTTTCTACCTCAGAGTCCATTTTCACACTGCTAGAAGCAGCCTTTTCCATAAACTGCTCACACCGAAATAAAATTAGCTTAGTTTCTCACATTTTTTTCTGCCACTTTGAAAGTGAGAATTTTTGGCAAGCTGTTCAATACAGCCAGGTATTCGATATGTGGAACGTTTTGGCGTGGGGTTTTTGTATTTCTTTACACCCACTGCCTTGGTCAGTACAAAATACATAAACTCAAATACAAAACTCACTATAGCTGGTTAGTTCAGTTACAGGGAACAACCCAAGCTAACACAATTTTAGAACTTTTATAAAAACAGACACTACTTACGTAGTACCAAGGGTAGATCACAATTTTTCAGGCAAGATCAGAAGCCTTACTCTTTCCATGGGAACTCTGAAGATCAGGATCCTGTGTAGTGCTTCCAGTTTACTCTGTGGTTAGTCCTTGCTCTTTGATTTCCACAGTTCCACTCCAATCAGTAATTAAAGCAAAACCATGCTGCCCAGAACCTGGTTTTGGTACCAGTGTGACCTTGGGAGGCAAAAGCTGTGAAGGACCCTTCACATTTGCTTGAAGCTGGTAACTCTGACTCAGCAAAGCACAATCGACAGCTCCCCAAATAGCCTGATACAGTTAAAAAAAATACAGCCTGCTTTGTTACAGGGATGTAGGTTTTCAAAGGAAACCCAGAAGGAAGTTGGTCTCACACAAGAGAATTTATTTGGGAAGCTCTTGCGTAAGACAGGGACATATCCAAGTTTCCCAAACTACCCTCTCCAGGAAAGACTCATTCATAAGCAGACCCTTGCAACAGCAGCAGCCTCCAGAAAGCTCATAACCTTTCACATTTTGAGCACTGCCTGGGTTGGGTAAGGCTTGGAAAGCACCTCGCTGGCACTGCTTTTTGTATTTCTGAACCCTTGTAGTGAATACCTCCTAAGGATGCCACTGAAGAACCAGGCCACAGGGAGTCAAATCAGGTCTCAGAGAAAAAGCTAACTTGTAACAGAATCCAACCAAGCAGAGATTCTTATTGTGCTGCACTTCACTGAGATCCAAGCAGTGCTGACAGCTACAGACAGGAGAAAAAAGGTAAGGCATTCGAAAATATTCTAAGGTAAAGATAGAAAAATAACTTGCTTTTAATTTTGAACACAGCCCCCAAAACAACAACATTTCCTACTTGGAAAAAGATAGGGACGATGAATGAAGCAAGATACATTTGCATTTCAAGTGACAAACACAACTTTTAAAAATCAAAACATTTTAATAACCAGGGCAGACGTGCCCTTACTTGCTTACTACATTTTGGACTGGTAACTACTCTACAGATGCTAGCCAGGGTAACAGCTCGTGGGAGTTTTCTGCCTTGCAATATACAAAGGTTCATACCCTTATTCTGTAATTCCAGCAACAGGTACAACACTGGAAATAAAATCTTAACATCTTCTGACTGAAGTCCTGTGCTGTCACACTGTGCTACGTCAACAAATTATTCTGTGGAGTTACAGAAAGCGAGCACACTGGAAATGTCACCTCAGTTTGCAGTTTATACAGATTTACACACTTAAACTGCTGCCTTAAAAAGGCTACACAAGTAATTCAGTAAAAATGGTCATGTGTTTATGTGATAAATTAATAGTGTTGTTTAAAGCTAGCTATAGATTAAGCTATTGGCCCATGAATAAACAACTTTTTGTAGCAAATATGCAACCCCAGAAATACAACTCACTTAAACTGCATTCAAACTTCATGAGAATACATCCTATCATCCAGATGAAAATAAATGCATGTTCAAGAACAAAATAAAATCTCTTATTAAATGGTTTGCAGAATTTATTAGGTCTTTTTTTAATATACTCAATACTTCATCAAGCTAGTTGCATATAAAGTGATCTCCACCATATACATTACAATTTCTTTGCATCATCTAAAAAAAAAGTCACCAAAAAGTAGTATTTTACAGGTTACAGTTAACTTTCAATTAACCTACACGTGAACCCTTCTGTAAATTGATTTAAGACACTAACCTGCAATATCTAAATTAGGTTTCACAGCAAGCTCAACCTGCATTTCAATGAAGAGGTTACTGCCATCTCAAATTCGGCATTTCTATAATTCATTATCTTAACACTGCAAGAATTTAATGTGGTGTTTACTCAGAATAAAGAAAAAGTATACGACATTTCCTTTGCAACAAAGCCTGCTCAGAATACATACGCCTCAAGAAAATTAGGAAACTCCACCACTCTAAGGAATTCACCCAAACTTGTGAATGGAAGGAGCATTTTATGTTCTTCTCGGTTAATGCTTGAAGCTGCTCATAAAAAAGCAAAACCAGCAAGCACAACAGATAAACCGTTATCGGATATGACTTAAAGCAAAGAAAATCAGAAGCAAAGCAGATTCTACCTGCAACAAACATTTCCCAATTTAGAAGAAACTTTCAGAGGGACTCAGGCAGGTAATTACCAAAGAGGTTTGCTGATATCTTCATAGGATGCTAGTTTACTGGCCAGGCACGTATAGTGTAAATACACAAAGAATCCAGAGTGCTGGAATTCACACAGCACTTCAAGGGATTTAACATAACAGAGGTGGGTAGAACACAGGAAAATATTTAACAACTTACATAAATATATTAAAATCTCGGCAAGAAATTTAAGAGTCCATGCACACAAGACAACAAATTGAAAAAAAATCCATTTAAGACTTGACTTTTCCTTTCAACAGCACTGACCCCCTGAATTCCAGAAAGTGAGCAATTTACACTACAACAGTCTTTCTCCACACAACCTATATGCACTGAATCATACCGACGTTACACAGCACATGAACAAGCAGCAGATGCATCAAGGGAACAGGAGCTATGTGCATCGGGTGGCCTGCCCGCTTAGAGGCAAACACCAGAGAAATTGTTGCTGACGGGCAGGTACGGTCAATGCAGGTAACTGTACACCCGTCATTTCCAAGAGTTAACCCACAGTGTAGGAAAGGGGAGCTTTAGGTGATAACAATTATGGACCCAGTCTCAGAAGTGACAGAAGCAGAGATTTATCTTTCAAAAACTGGGTCCATCCTGGACTGGCCTTGATGCACATGCAGTACATTTGTATTCAGAACGCGAGATTAATTGGGAATGTCTGCACTAGTGTTTCGATTCCCGTATTTGTGGTGGATGATCAGCAAGACGACCCCTAAGAAAAAGCATATGGACCCGACGGTGATGTAGGCAATTCCCAGAAAGGGATTTTTGCCTCCCATCCACGAGATGGTGCTTAGGATCATTCTTTTCCGTCCATCAAAACTGTGTACGGGATAATCTGAAGAAACATATAGGAAAACAAGCAGCACATTTCCAAACCTAGCTCTCTGTGGTCAGGCTCATTAAAGTTTTGGATAGTTTCACTCAGGTTCCAAATGGAAACTGATGCTTTTGAATACTGGGAGTGCAAATATGATAAATGTAGCTGTTGTTTTAGGCTAAGACTAATCTGGGCACTGTTATCTACTCCAAGGAAAATGCCACGTTAGATGGTAACTCCTTTTTAAGGGCAGAGTAAATGCATGATTTTGTGCGTTTCTGAAAGCAACTTCAATAAAATGAGGGAAACCTAAATTTAAATTCTTTAATATATTTTAGTACAAATTTTTTCTTGGTGACTTTACGTTCATTCAGTTTTATACGCACTCCCTGCAGTTTTGCAGCAAAAGAAAATACTGCAGTAGCTATTTAAAAATTATCATTAAGTGCTTTTGAATTTTAAGAATTCGGTAACTATGACAACCCTCCCCCTCCAGTCTCCTGCACTCCCACATAGTCTTTAGTTTACCCAAACCAGAATGGCAGACCTCCCACCTGATCCACAGCTCTGGCAATTCTCTGACCTCCAAAGTCAGTCTGCCCTTGTTTACATGTCGTCATTACACCATGAAGTTCGAGTTCTCAGACTTCTAGGATACCAGCTACCTCTGTTCCTTCCTTTTTTCCTTTGCTACTCATTTAATTTTAGACACTGATCTGAGTATCTGCACAGCAGAGCAGGCTGCTCTGGAGCAAGTCTACAAGTACAGAGTAATCTGACCCCAATACATGGAGCCACAGAAATGCCCAAAGCAGGACTCAAACTCCTGAATGTTAATTCCTGCACCCATGAAAAATGTCTCTTCCTGACACTCAATATTCATTCAATGCCCTTCAGGGTCAAAGCAGTAATTAAAGAGTCCACAGGAAAGCACTGGAAGGCATCAAAGAATGAATAGTGCATACACTGATTAATAAAAACGCACACTGCAGATCTGCTGCTTTATCAACCTAAAGGTAAATAAGATGTGTGCATATTTAGTATTTTGCAGCAACTAGAACCTAGCTAACTTGGGCCATTAACAGATTTCAAGAAGGGTGATCAGCTCACCTGAAGGCTAAGCATCACCTGAACTACGCTTCGGTATCTTCATGTTAGCAAAAATGCGGGCAGATTGCTCAAACATTACCAGATGGAAATGCTCCCATCCATAGACTTTAGCCTCTATCCCACATGAGGCAGCTACTGGGGACTGCAAATACCCATAAACATGAACAAGACGTGTGAGAAAAAAGTGACTGGGACTGACCATACACCTGTGAGAATTCAAGTTAAGTGTACAGAGAAAAAATCTTCCCTAGGATTAACACCTCCGTTATCTCCTCACAAAGGCCTCTTCTGAAGAGTTGAGTTTTTTAAACTAAACTGAATATTTCAATCCTGGTTAAAAAAAAAAGATGTAGTTTTATATTACCTACAAAATAGCTTAAAAACGTTATGATTAAAACTGCACTTAAATGTGTGTAAGTCTAACCCAGTCATTTCATTTATGAAGTTTAAAAACTGGACTGGATTTCACACTAACACGCCAGACAAGTTAATTCTATAAAAACTTGCACAAAAATACAAGATGGTGGTTATTCTACCCAATTCTCCCTTCCAGTTTTCAATCACAGCTCAATACCATCCTTCTTTTAGAGACCGTAAGCAAAAAGGCTAGTTCAGTTGGAACTTGCACAAATATACGCCCATGTAATCCAGCCGAGATCCTTATCCTCTTTCAAAGGTTTTTAAAAGGATACTGTACGCGATATCCAAAGAGTATTTTCCGGCCTGTAAGGTAGGCTGTAAATTATTCTTCCTTTCAATGAGACGATACAGCTTGCGAAAGGTTGGCAGAGCTGCGGTACGCATCCAGACGATGAAGTCTTCGTTGATAAAGCCGTTGTTGTCAGGCTCTGAGTCCAGCATGTACACTGGCTTGGGCCAGTTGACAGGCTTGGTTGTGCCTGGGATTAAACAAAAACAGCAACAAGGAAGTTTTTCAAATACAGGACTAAGTTACACGCAGGCCCATCAAAACTCATTTTGATATTACAAAAAGAACATACTAACTTCTAAACAGCGTGAACAGACAGGTTGCCTCACTGCACTGGGCTGTCTAAGAACTTTGCTTGTTGCAGCTTAAGTAGTAGTACCTATCCATTTATTCTCATGACAGCATTGTCCATTTGTTTAAACAAATTTGCCTCCCCTACACATCTATCTAGCTGGGAAGTCTTGTCTCAAAACATTACCTCAGTGAGGCAGTTTTCCATTATGGTGAGAGCTCCTCTGCTCACTTGTTAAGAGTTCGGCTACCACTTCCTGGACCACGAACAAATAAATTCTGTATAGTATTTTAATTATGCCATACTGATGCTTTTGCTAGTTTTGCTGGAAATTCTACACTGTTTTAGGGTGAGGCACCTGTTTTTCCAAGGGCGACATCACATTGGTAATGTGTAATTTGGCTGTGACTAAGCAAGAAACCCGCATCAGGTTTAACCTGAAATAATTACGTATCTTGCATAAACACACACACACACCCCCACACCTCGCTTAGAGCTGTGAGGAAGATTATTTTCAGACACTGGTAGCCGAAGAAAACTTTGATTTACCAAACTGTAACCTATCAAATGACTCAGTAACCTCTAATCACAAAAAACAGAGCTTTTTAGAAAACTTTGCACAATCGACCAGTAGAAACATTTAAATGGAAACTCCGTATGAATGGTCTGATCAAACAACTGCTGGGCTTTTTTCTCCAAGTTCAATCCAAGCGTTACAGCAGTTGTAGGGGTTTTGGCTGGGATACAGGTAAATTTATTCACAGTAGCTTGTATTCTGCTACGTTTTGGATTTGGGATGAAAACAATGTTGGTAACACATGCATGTTTTATTTATTGTTGAACAGTGCTTGCACAGCCTCAAGGCCTTTTAATAAAAAAAAATAATTCTTAAACTGTCTTTATCTCAACCCACAAGTTTTTTTCCCCCCACTGAGGGGGAGAGGATGTTAAGTGAACGGCTGCATGGTGCTTAGTTGCCAGCTGGGGTAAAGCCATAACAGCAGTGAAGGTATTAGGCTTTTCTCGGTATTCAAAGTGGAAAAAAAATTCAGAAATAAAAAAAAGTATAAATGGTTACAATAAATTTAAAACCCAAACACTTTCAGATGAAATTTGCAGCTTTCACTAGTTAAAGACAACCTTTCTAGATAGCAGAGTACTCCTTGGATTTCTTCAGGGAAGCACAGTATTTTTAATTAGCACGCTCACTAAAATAGTCAGTGAGATAAAAGTCAATGGAATCGAAATGTGTTTAAAGTGTTTCATTTCTCTTAAAATTTCACATCTATTTTTCTTTTACCTTGGAAAAGCGCAGTTAAGTTATTTCCATCTCCCGTAGGATTCCTGAACTTTACATTTTTATCTGTCCACCACGCAATGCCTTTTTTAATCAAGGTGATAGGAGTCCTTGTGTCATTATCAATGCGGTATAATTCCAATGTATCTAAGGAGAAAATCAAATTGGAAAAGCGGCTGAAGAAACATTCCTTAGACAGATGATTCTGATAGGCAGTGAAACGATTACCTCCAGGAAAAGCAAAACAATAAAGTGGGCAAGGCTTTTACTACCTGACTGCCACAATCACAAGTTGCTCCGTAAGAATCAATGTATATCAGATTGCAGCCTATTATCCGTATCACAGAATCACAGAATCACAGA